CACCGAGAGGAAAAAAAAAAGGAAAAAAAAAAAAAAAAGAAAAATAACAGTAATAATAGCAATAACATTGGGAAAAGGGGAAAACTAGCGTTCCGCGTTCAGCTGGTCGCTACTCGATGAAAGCGAATCCCGCCGAGGAGGCAAAGATCAAAAAGGATGGGCGAGGCAAAAAGAGTGGAGGATAATGTAATATACTGTATCAGGATCGGTGAGTGCAGGGATTGGCTCCGCATCCCCCATATATATGGGAAATACGTGTCAGGGGGTCCCTATTCGAAACACTGTATCCCCTCGAGGGAAGAGATCTTCATCGTTGCTCGAGTGGCTCATCCGTTTGAGAGGATCATTGTCGAGGATCCGCGATTAAGATCGACGATCCTTTGCACGATCCGTGTTACAGGATATACACGCTTCTTGCTTTATCTTTTCTTTCTTCCTCCTCGTATTTCGCAACGACAATTTCCCTTCAAATCGGTAAAAGTAACGAAATTTTAAAAAATTTTAAAAAATGAAACTAAGATGCTCAATTTTTGAATTGCTTCTCATTGTTTCGCTTTCCTTTCCTCCGATGTATATATTTAATATTTTTCGAAAGATTACTTTTGAAAGTTTGGAGATAATGTTTTAGAATGTTTTAGAATTAGGATTTTACAATTGATTTACAAGGATCTCGTGCAGTTGTAAATTTTGGAAAATTTGAATGAAAAAAGAAAGTCGAATATTGTCTATTGCTCGAAATATTTTTATGATCCGTTTGTTTTCCAAGGTTTACCTTATATTTAGTTTTATAGTTTTATTGCCCAGTTTTATAGCATCCCTTAAATCCAGTCCCAAAAACGGTTTATTAGGGGTTTATTGCCCCAATATTCGAAATTCTCGAAGATTGTGATGTGCCCTGGATGGAGCAATAACAATGATTTTTCAAGAAACAATTTTTACCTGAACCATCAATAAAACAATTTAACACCGTTTAGTTCACCGTTACACAAGGTCGTAAAAATTTAAAAATCTAATAATATTTCACATTCAATTCGATTAAATAAAATAATAAAATTTCTTTCGAATGTAAGTGCTTTGTATCTTCGCCTATGTATAGAAAGGGATCCATCGAGGTTGGCGAGATTCGATTTAATCCCATCGCCGTGCCCGGTTTCGATCCCTCCGCGTCACGGACAGTCGGCTGCATCGTCGCCATGAATGCCAAGCACGGCGAAATTAATTTCACGCGTGCATTTACGCCGCGGAGTTGCGATGAAATGGGGCGGCAGGGGGGAGGAGGGCAAGATAAAAA